CCTGGCTCCAGGAGTCGCCCACCTCCTCCTCCCCGGCATGAGGTGGGCGGTGGGCAGTGCTCTCCGCTCTGCTGACCCCCAGCTGAGCCTTGCGGGCACAGCTGTCTGCTGGGACAAGTGTGGGTGAGGCTGCCTGCTGACAGCTTTACATGCTGTAACACTGTTTTTGCATGCTTCCCTTATCTGTGAACTCTGGAATTGCTGCACTAGACCTAAGGAGCTGTTTCCTGACAGTCCCTAACCAGAGTTTAGTGCCCTTATACAACTATCACACAGAAATGTGACTTAGTTGGCATGAGCTCTCTGAGTCCTGCTTGTCTGGTAGGTGTGATGTGGGAAAGTGCTGGCTTTGCTGTCTCTTGAAAGCTCTAATACAGGCTGATCAATAGGTGTAAGACAATATTTATGTATGTGGATACAGGTAAATCAGGATCTAAAATCCAGAGCACCCCAACAAAGGCTGGGGGGGATCGCTACATTCCCAACCGCAGCACTATGCAGATGGAGATAGCCAGTTTCCTCCTAACCAAAGAGAATGACCCTGCTGAGGAGTCCCCTACCAAGAAGGTGAGCATGTTGCTAAGTTATGATTATTATGATGATCACTACCAAACACCTAATCCTTCCTGGCCTTTTACAGAGAAGCAAACTGTAAATTCTATCAGGCAGGCGCATGGGGCCATTGCTGCTTCCAGCTCTGGGCTTCAGGAGCCTGGGAATGAGGTAGTAGAGTGAATGGAAGGGGTACAGAACTGCTACACAGGAGCCTAAGCATAGCTGCTCTGTGGAGTCATTTCCCTAGGCACAGGGAAGAACATAGAGCCTTACACCTCTGCTTCCATTCACTCCAGTCTGTGCCACTTCTGGTAGCAAAATTCAGGTTTGGGCTAATGAGGCTTTAAAATATAGTGGGTTACAAAGACACAAAGCTGTAAGCCTGTGCACAGTGAAACTGCTGGTGGTAGCTATTCTGGGACAATGTCTACATGGGGAGCTATTCTGGAATGTGTACATTGTGTTCAAAATGTGTTTATGAAGCATTTGGTTCCTTGTGGCTGTGTCTTTTCCGGCTGGCAATGAAACACTGAACTTGCACTCTTCTGTATGAAAATGTGAGGAGGACAGTGTGCCAATGCCTGAGGGAAAAACTACTTTGAGCTGCCTGTCTGTAGCTGACTCCACAGCACAGCTATATACCTCATGATTCTAGGAGAAGGAGGCTTAGGTGTATCCTCGCCAGCTGCAGTTTTAAGTGTAGCATGGGCTTTGTGTTTCAAAATATCTCACTGAGGGTGATTTGTCTCTGTAGGAGCAACAGAAAGCCTGGGCAGTGAATCTGAATGGCTTTGATATAGAAGAGGCAAAGATCCTCCGCCTCAGTGGAAAGCCACAGAATGCTCCAGAAGGTATGATACAGGGTCTGTGTGAGCTGACTCTGATCAGGGCAGGGGAACAACATGGAGGCCCTGTGTGTGGGCATGCGAGAGACCAGCTGGCCTCTTCTCAGAGTTCCTGTGCACACTGGAGGTTCCTTAGGGTTCCTGAGGTTGAGGGGCTGTGTAAGAGCTACAGTGAATTTATTTATGAAAGCTGAAATGACTGTCGGTTGCTCACTGGTACTGCAGGCGGCAAACCTTCCTTGTGTCTGCAAAAGCTTCCAACTCTGCTGTGCACTTTGTAGCTTTACTGTCACTAATGGGATACAGAAAACCAAGTGCCCGTCAGTTGAACTTCTGTGAATTAAGGAATCGGTAGTTAATACTGTCAGTGATGTTAGCACACTGTGCTCTTCTGAGGGTATCTCTTCTCTCAGGACTTAATTTTCACTGGAAGGGATTTCTAGTTGTGTGAGTGGTGCTCAGCTGGGAGCAAACTAACTCAGCTTAACAAATATGTTCCTCTGCACACAGGCTATCAGAATAAGCTGAAAGTGCTCTACAGTCAGCAAAAGACACCTGGATCCAGCAGGAAGAATGGCAGATACATTCCCTCAATGCCAGACCGCATCCTGGATGCACCGGAGATCCGCAATGACTATTGTAAGTAGGCTGCAGTGTTGACTGCTGGGCATTGAGATCATTCTGCACTTGAGTGCAGTTCCTAGGATGGTGTAGTCCAAGGAACTGGAGCACTGAGCTGTTGCAGTATCTTATGCACTCAGGCTGGCACAGACCGTTTCTGGAGTGTCCTTGTGTAGCTGTATAGAACAGTGGTTCAGAGTGCTGTGTGGGTGACTTGGGTCAGGACTAGCTGGGCATGCTGCCACCCAGAAGGCTGCCCCTTACCTGCATGTGTGTGTGCACACACAGCTGGTGCAGGTGGGAGATCTGGCATCAGCACTGGTGAAGGGCAGGGCTCTCCAGGTAAGCACAGCGTGACCTGCATTGCTCTTCCAAATTGTAGATCTGAATCTCATTGACTGGAGCTCTCAGAACTTCCTGGCAGTGGCTCTGGACAACTCTGTCTATCTGTGGAATCATACTTCTGGGGAGATTATCCAGCTGCTGCAGATGGAGCACCCAGATGATTATGTTTCTTCTTTGTCATGGATTAAAGAAGGAAACTACCTTGCTGTTGGCACAAGTAATGCTGAGGTCCAGGTGAGCGCAGGAGTAAAACTAGAGGTGTTGTCTAGGGATTGCTGGAGCTGTGGGGCCTTGGGGCAAAGGCTTGGCTAGCACAGGAAGGATGCAATGCACACTTGATTTGCCTTGACCTGGTGCAGGGTGGAAATGTCCACATCCAGCCATAGCCACTGACCAACTGCCGCAACAGGGCAGAGTTTGGTTTTGGGGTCTTCTGACACCTGGAGTTACCCTCTGTTCTATAGGTGTGAGATACAAACTGGTCTCTGCTCCCTTACTGTTGAATGCCAGAGCCTGTGCTGTGAGGATCCTAGGGCAAAGCAACAGGGCTGGGTTTCCTCATTTTCTAGAGAACTTTTTGCTCTGCCTCTCTAGCTCTGGGACATACAGCAGCAGAAACGTCTCAGAAATATGACCAGCCATTCTTCCCGTGTGGGGTCCCTCAGCTGGAACAGCTACATCCTCTCCAGGTAAAGCAGTGGGTGGGGGTGGGTAAAGGGCAGTGTCCAACTGTTGCAGATTCCTATCCTAGATCTGTAAGTTGTGCAGGGTGGGGACTGCAGAGAGGAGTTTCTCTCCTGGCTTGGGATTCTTACTCAGCCTGTTCTCTTGGAACTGTGTGGAGAAGGCCTCTCTTCTCTCTTGCCCTTTGTGCTGAAGTTGTGAAGAGCTTCTGTGGCTGCTTTGCTCATGCTAACAGGCCAGTGATGCTGGTAATGCTGGTTTAAAGCCTGTGACAAGTTTTGCAATAGCACAAGAATGGATTTTGGTTAAAATATGTGCCAGGCTGACCCTGCAAGCCTTCTCTCTGCAGCGGGGCACGGACTGGCCACATCCACCACCATGATGTCAGAGTGGCTGAGCATCATGTGGCCACACTTGCTGGCCACACACAGGAGGTGTGTGGACTCAAGTGGTCTCTAAATGGCCGCTACCTGGCCAGCGGTGGCAATGACAACCTGGTGAACATCTGGCCATGCACCCAGGGAGACAGTGGGGATTTTGCTCCGGTACAGACCTTCACTCAGCACCAGGGTGCTGTCAAGGTGAGTGCAGGGCTGCTGTGGGCACATCCGTGTGCAAGGCAGACATGCAGCAGTGGCTGTGCACAAGTTGCCTCTTGCATGTCTTAGAATTAACCCTTTTCTCTCAGGCTGTGGCATGGTGTCCGTGGCAGTCAAATGTTCTAGCCACTGGAGGTGGGACTAGTGACAGACATATCCGCCTCTGGAATGTGTGTTCTGGCGCCTGCCTCAGTACTGTTGATGCTCATTCCCAGGTAAGGAACATCAGCTTAGACATAAACACCTTCTGGCAGGACACCTATACAGAGCTGCTGGCTCCTGAGGCCCAGAGGCCTGGGAAAGGAGGGGACGGACGCTCATCTCTGGGTGATGAGCATCAGCCCAGGCAGCTTGTCTTACCTGCATTACTGCCTCTTTCCAGGTCTGCTCTATCCTGTGGTCAACAAACTACAAGGAGTTCATTTCAGGCCATGGCTTTTCACAGAATCAGCTGGTTATATGGAAGTATCCAACAATGGCCAAGGTCACTGAGCTGCGAGGTAGGCTGGGCTCTTTGCCTGGGGAAGGGAAAGCTGCTAGAGGCTGAAGGCAGATTTAATCCTTGGTATGAGCAGACTGGTGGTCTAGTCTGGAGCATGCTGCTAGGAGGAGGCACCTGTGGGCTGCTGAAGCAACACCACTGCTCCAAATGCATGCCTAGGGTGTGAATCCATGCTCTGCAGCATGATGGGGGGGGAATTATGCAAGCTTGTGGGGCTTATGGAGCATATGGGAGTCAATGTGACCATTGTGGTAGAACCAGAGGGACCAGGGCATGCGATGATCAGCCCAGTCTTGAGTGCACACCATCTCTTCCTCAGGTCACACTTCTAGAGTCTTGAACCTGACTATGAGCCCTGATGGTGCAACAGTGGCCTCAGCAGCTGCTGATGAAACATTGCGGCTCTGGCGCTGTTTTGAGATGGACCCCATAAAGAAGAAGGAGAAAGAGAAGGCCAACAGTGCCAAAAGCAGCATCATTCACCAGGGTATCCGATGAGTGCACGGGGCTGTTGGGGGGAGAGGGGGAAGTTTGGCTTACAACACTGTACAGTTATTTTAAATGTTAATAAACTGCTTTCATTTGACTTTTTGATGTTGACTTTTTGATGGGGTCTGATGGAAGGAAAGGGTGTGACTCACATCACCCCAAACCCTTCCTCCCTGAGCTTTGGGATCTGGGCAAGTGGTGAAGCTCTTGTTCTTTAGGACCTGTTTGCAAGCAGCCTGAGCCTAGCACCTCCTTGAAGTCCTGGGAGAAGGATGTTGTGCAATGGCTGTACTTCTGTATCCATCCCACCAAGGCTCAACTGAAAGCATACAATGTCTGTGGCTCCAGCTTTTGTTGTTTCTTGGACAGCTGTGCCTTACTGTGCTTCTATAGGCTACTACCAGCTGTGATCAGCTGTGCCAGAGCAGTCTGGGGCCTTGTTGCTGGTGGCACACAGCAGTTATCCTTGTTCTATTCCACCCTGCCTCTGTGCTGCAGCCCATGCTGTCTGCTCTTAGGATGCTAGGGTAGAACAGCTACTTTTGCAGGGAGTTTAGAAGCCAAATGCTATTGGAAAAAAAGGAGGGGCAGAGGCTGGAAAGATACAGCAACAGCTCTACTCCCACCAATGGTGAGAAAGAGGCTGGCACTGGCAAACACAGTGAAGCCTGATGCAAACCAAAGGTTAGTTTACATTGCCACAGCCAGCTTGGATATCAGGTAAGAGACTTCCAAAGCACCATCAACTCTGGGCCTGGCCCTTAGTCATATATTCTTCCAGCAGCCCTGATCTGTCTTCCCCTCTTCCTGAAGGAAAGCCCTGGTGCCAAGGTGAGGCTGCATGCAGGGATGCAGGCACCAGGCCTCAGCTGGCATTTATCAGAGTTTGACTCCCCAGCACTTCAGAAAATGCATTTTTTTACAGGCTCAGTTAAGCTGGTGCAGGGAGCATATTTGAGCCTTTACCTGAGCAAGTGCCAGCATGGCCACACTGCTCTGCACATTGGAGGTGTGGCATCTGAGGTTGTGGGGCTGCCCCCAAGACCCACTGAGGTGTCCTTCAACTGCACCAGCACAGACAGGGGCTGCCAGGGACACTGCACAGCTGATTAGGACCTTGGCATGTGCAAAGCAGATCAAGCAGATTGACAAAGCCCATGTCTCCCCTCAGCCCGTGATTAGCTGAGGGTGGATTATTATTAACTGTTTTCACCTTCCTCTCAGGACCTCCTGCCAGGCTCCTACTCTGCCTCCTGAGCTTTAAGCCAGCTGGAACCTCCAAAGGTTGGTGGTGTTGTTACCAACTTGTGCTAAGGCCAGCCACTATGCACCCCCCCCCCACCAGGCCAGCCCCACCTCTATTGCCAATATAGGGTATAGTTGCAAAAAAACAGCTTACAGCAGCTGAGCCCAGCCCCTTCCCAGCAGGGCTGTCAATGCACCCCCCTCCCCCCTCCTTTAGCCACCTGAGGAAGAGCAGAGGAGGTCCAAGGGAGGAAGAGGGAGCATTCTACCTCCTGGGAAAGGGGGCAGGAACCCCTCTGCCAAGGTTAGGCTCTTCCCCAGTGCTGTGCTGCTCTTGTAGGAGCCCTGCCCCCCACCCCTGCAGTGCAGCACTGGCAGTTAGCACAGACTTGCCCTGTAGCCCCACAGCAGATTAAGGCTTCCAGTGGTTCCTCACACTAGAGCACAGGCTTCATATGCCTGAAAGCTGGTGTAGTTTCTACATTCTAATGTAATAGCAGTTTATCTTTCTCAGAGCCTTGTCTTGCCTCTCGCCTTAGCACATACCCACCCCCAGAAGCTGTGCATTACACACCCCTTGAAAGTCCTCTGAGCCTTACTGGAAGGTGAGGGTAGTGTAGTGTCTTCCTTTGGTCCCATACTGCTCCTACTGCCCTAGAGTGAGGAGGAGCAGACGAAGGAGCTGGGCGCTGACCCAGCAGGCCCAGGAACCACTGCCATATAAGGTGTGAATTCAGTTCAGAGCAGCAGCCCAGACTGACCATGACAGCATATAAATTACCAGTCATGGAAAGATCACAGCTAACAGGAACAATTGGAGGAAGGGAGAGCAGAGCACACATAGGGAACAGCCCATTTTAAAACACCAAGCATAAGTAGTTTAAAGTATTGTTGCTATTTTGGGCAAAAGCAAAGACAGTCCTGTCCTTACCAAAAGCCAGCTGAGGGTGGGGCAGGAGAAGGAGGCTAGATGGGAAAAGCTCCATCTCACCTACAGGCCCCAAAGTGGTGACTTGTGAGCACTGAGCAGGGACCAGAACAAGCTTTCCTGCTTGTCCTTGCCCCGAGAGAGGCAGCAACAACTGGGAGAACACTATACAGGGCAGGGTCCAGATCCCCTTTTAAGGCTTCATATATGCAAGGCCGTTAAGCCCTGTAAAATGGGGTGACACCCACGAGCAGTTAGGCATATCAGTCACACCAGTTCAGAGCACTTGAAGAGGTTTTCCTACAGTTTGGAGCATGGCCTTGATACGTACAGCAGCTCAGGCAGGGTCAGCAAAGTCTCCCCTCACACCAAGCCCTGCCCCAGAACTTTGGCTGGACATCCACTAAAACCCTCCCACACCCCAACCAAACCTCCAGTGAAACAGCTTCCAGAGGCCTGCTGGCCTAACGCATTCCTCCTGGCCACAAGCATCTCTCTTCCCAGACCAGAGTCAGCACCTAGGCTGGCCTCCGTGCTCAGGAGGGTCCCAGTCACTAGGTGATGGGGAAGGCAGCACTGCACCCCAACAACTCTGAAGGGAAGCCAGACTGTCTCAAGTGGTAGAGACAACATAGGCCAGCTAGGCAAGATGCACTTCTGTAGCAAGAGCAAGGCAGCAGCAACATAAACCTCTCAACCCTGACCAACCCAAACTATGCTCTGCACTGATCCACACTGCAGGGGCATTCACAGATGGCAGCAGCTCTGGCTTGAGCAGATGCAGAAACCACCACCAGACTGCACCTGGGTTTCCAGGGTCTCTATTCCCTGCCACCTCAGCCTCCTGGGATTTCTGAAAAGCAGCAGCTCCTCCTGGGCAGCTAGCCCAGGTCCTAGCCCGCACCCATGTTCCCCCCCAGCCATTCTTTCACAGGGTGGAGCTACTTTCACAACAGGAGCCTTGACACATTTCCTGCCCTGAGCACTGCTCTACTAAAGCACTTGGAAATAATCTGCCATCTGCTTCATCAGCAAACTGCTATCACCCTCTCCCCCCAACACACAAACTTGCTACTCCAGCTGCTTCTCCCAGCTCTGCCTCTAACCACACTGGGCAGGACCAAGCACCTGGAACAGCTTCTGAGCACACCAAAGCCAGGAAAACAAGAGGGCAGAGTCATTTCTCCTCTATTTGTTTATTTGTGATAGAAGAGCAGCCCAATCTGACAGGGCCTGGCTCCTTCACCTCCTCCTCAAGGCTGTCAGCACGGTTTTGGTCACAGCCAGAGCAGGTGATGGGCACCAGGCCCAGGAGAGCTGCTGCACTGCCCTGCTGTGGGGCAGAGTACACCTTCACCCAGGCCCAGTCAGATCCAGAGAGGCAAGAGGTGCTCACTATTACACCACAGCAGGGCACACTACAACCATCCTCTGTGATCACACTGGGCCAGAGTGGGGCTGATCCCAAGCAGGAGAGCCCAGGAGCTGATTCTAGGGGCAATTATTGCTCAAGTCTTGAGTTTGCAGGAATGGAAGTGATCCAAGACAAGGCTGAGCTTGGCCTCCACCACTCTGGAGCAAGCCACCAGCTGCCATACAGGATCAGGCAAGTGTGGCTATAGCACACACTGAGCACCCAGCCCAGGCACAGAAGGGCAAGGCAACCTGGGCTTATCATGTGGAAGAGGCATTTCAGGCTGTCACAACCCCACTATGTACTAGGCACTCGGCATGTGTACTGTACTGGGCAGGTCCGGGCCCTTGAGTCCCACACGCACTGCCCCTACATTCTCCACAGCCATGCCTGAGCACAGATACACCAGGGCAGGACCCCCCACCTGGGCATGCAGGGACCAGAAGGAACATGCAGCACTGTGGCATGGAACAAAGTGGCACATGGCATGGTAGAGCAGGAGCACTCACACTTGAGCTGGCAGCAGCAAAGCAGCCAGGGACAAGTCTGCTTATTCATCCGCACAGGCTCTGATGAGACAGGGAAGAGGAGAGGGCACCAGGACAAGGAACAGTCTCTTCTTTTGGTCCTACTCAGAAGGAAATGGCCTCCAGGCAGAAAGGCCAGATGTAGGCACTTGGGGAAAGTTCCTTTGGAAACACTGGAATGGGACTGCAGCCCCACAGCTGTGATGCAGGCAGCTGCCTCTCTGCTCAGCAACACTGAGAAACAGCACAAGCCCTCCCAGGAGCAGGAGAAGTGGCTGCTCAGAGCAGAGGGGCTGGGCATGCAGAGGACAGCAGGGCTGGGCACAGGGGTACGAGTCTGTAGGCACTTGACTTGGCTAGTGGCACCCAGGAGCAGGGGAACAGGTCCCAGCTGCCTCTGCCCCGGGGCTCTCATTGGCTCTGGGAGGGTCTCTCCCTCTAGTTGGCTTTAACCTTGCTGTTGGTGACAGTGCCGTTCTCATGGATGCTGCTACCATTGTGCTGGGCTGCTTGCTGAGCCAGCTTGGGCAACCGTTTGCCTTTGGTGTAGGACTGGTACCAAAAGTTGGAGAAGAGGATGAAGAAGATGGTCCCATAAATCCAGATGAGGTGGATGAAGATGGGGAACTGGTACTGGCAGCTGGGCATGAAGTAATACTGGGAGATGTGGATGGAGACAATCACGAACTGTGCCTGGGAGCAAGGCAGAGCAGGGACAAGTTATTCATGGGAGCAGGGTCAGGGATCCCACTAGAGACCTTCTTTCTAAACGAAGCCAACAGGCTCCTTCCCCGCTCTGAAGCAGAGGTCCTTATGGTGAGGCAGTCAGCAGCAGCTGGAAGAGGCAGGCACAAGTCTCAAGGCAGCATCTGCCTCTTTTCCTCTCAATGTGGCTGCAGCCCAGGGGCAGCAGGCTGAGCAGCACCCCCACTCCAGCGACGTTGGTAGGGTTACCAAGAGGCCCACAGTGGGCCAGAGCTGCTGGAA